ATGTGGTCAGAGGGTCAGTGGAAGGACTTGGGCCACTTTGAGCCAGGGCTCTTTGTCTAGGTTACTTGACCTGAAAAAAGCTTTGATTGGAGCCTTAAGCTGTCAGGTGGTAAAAAGCCTTAGTCCTGTTATTTATGTTGACATAATTCTGGGCCTCAGTCTCCCTTTCCGTGAAATGGGAATAATAACCTTTCTCCCTCTGACCCTTCTCCTGAGTGGGTATTAGGATAGTGACAATGAGGTAGGCTATTAGAGCTCCCATGACCAGGCCACTAGGAGCCTCTATTCTCCAGACTCTTCAAGAGGTGGCCCTGCAGGACCAGTGTGCCGAAGGGATTGCTAGGAGCTGACCCTACCTATCTCTGCTGCTCCTTCCCTGTCTCCCCCTGCACCTCCTTCTCTTCTGCACTGATTTCCTTTTTCCTTTATGCTCTTTCTATTTTTTTCTGGAAAAGCTCTGGAAAAGGCCCCACTTTCCTAGGCATCCCACTAGGCCCTAAGTTGTGTCCCTCAACCCTGCCTAGGCACCACTTCCTACAGGATGTTCTCTGCGGCTTCTCAGCCCTTGGACCCTGATGGGACCATGTTCCGGCTCCGCTTCACAGCCATGCTCTGGTGGGTCATCACTTTCCCTGTGTTCGGCTTCTTCTTCTGCATCATCTGGTCCCTGATGTTCCACTTTGAGTACACGGTGGCCACTGACTGTGGGGTGAGTGCCAGGCTCCCTAGCACCTGGGTCAGGGCCAGGTTGGGAGATGGCGATAAGGGTGAAATTGGAGAGTAGGAGAGAAGGTGGAGGGTCAGAGAGAGGGAAAAGAAATAAAAGGGTGGTAGGGGTCAAGTCAGAGTTAGGGGAAATTTGGGAGAGAGACTCAGAGAGTAGAGTCATAGTCCTCCAAGAGTAGAAGAGAGCAGAAGGGAGAGGGGGAAGGGAAGGGAGTAGGAATAGACAAGAAAGATCATGAGAAGGATAAGGGAGCTGAAGAAAGACCAGATTGGGAGGGAAGACAAGACTGAGAAGGTAGGATGAGGCCAGAAGCCAGGAGAAATAACATAGTTTTAGCCCAAACCGGGGCCTTGACCTGAGAGGACCTCCAGCCCTGTCCTGGGATCTTCTAGTTTGGTTTCCTCTCTCTGGCAGCCTCAACCCCACAATCTGTGTCCACTCGGGTCTCTACCAGTTGGACTTTCTACCTCCAAGAACAGCCCTCCAGGCCTTTGCCGAAGGCCCAGGGGTAGAGGTTCTGTGTCAGGGGCATGTAATTGAACGTGGCATTGCCCATAGTATCTCATTTATACAAGAAATAATCCTAGATACAGGCAATAACTACACAGTGAGACATTTCTACAATAACTACACAGTGAGAGGATTTCTATTATGATAAAAGGGAGCTCAGGGATTGTGGGGCCCAGAGGAAGCACTTAACCCAGCTTGGACATTGGGGAAGACTTCCTTCCTGGAAGAGGGGGCATTGTTGTTGTGAGGGTGAAGAATCTTTGTGAATGCCAGGCTGACAACTTTTGATTTTATCCAGAAGGAAATGGGAAGTTTGGGAAGATTTTAAACAGGAAAGAGACACGATTACATTTGCAGCTTAAAAGACAAGTCTGCCTCCTGGAAGGAAAACATTTAAGGGCATGGGACAGGAGTAGGGAGACCAGTGATGAGGCTAGTACAATACCTCATGCTACTGGGGAGACCAAAGCTAAGATGGGGACTATGAGGATAGACAGGAGGGGATGGAGTCCAGAGCAGAATAACAGGAATATAAGTTTTTGTTCAGTTGGCAAGGGGTTGGGGGGCAGTAAGGTAAATAGAAAAGTCATCCAGAATTTCAGGGGACTTTTATCTGAAGCCAAAGGAATGAATCTTTAATGGTGAAGTCTGTGATCTTAAGATAAGGAATTTTTGGGGCCACCTCTCTTTATCTCATGGGAATTTCTAATCCGCTGCCCTGCCACAGATCCAGAGCTATGTCCTCCAGGCCGAAGGTTGCCTATTCTTGGGGAAAGAGGTTGTTTCTATCTCTCAGTATCCTTATCACTGGGCTCCTGGGGAGGTTTGAGGTGAGCTGTGTACCTGGTTTCTGATAGCTCCTGATGTTTCTTGTTGCTGATGTGGTTGGTGAGTGGGAACTTGCATGCTTGGAATGGGGGTAGGGTATATGAGTATCTGTAACTGATTTTGTGTATGTGTGTATGTGATGATGGGGGCGGGGAGCAGTTCCTGCTTAGAATCCTGCCCCACCCCTAATCTGGGAGGAGCTTGTGAGGACTGGACTGGGCCACAGGGCCTCGCTTCTCTCTTCTTTCTGAGATGTCCCCCCAGCTCTGTGCCATCTCTACCCTTTACCTGTTTCTCAGCATCAGTTAGGGCTCTGAGTCCTTAAATGCTCTGGATTCTCTCAACCAAGTTTTAGAGGCTGATCCTATTCCCCTTAAATAGTTCAGATTGGGGCAGTAGTTTTCAGAATGATATTCTTGGACGTGGAGGCAACACTCCCACTAACCTTACTCAGAGGACCTATTCAGAGAGGCAGACAAGTCAAGTAAGGAGGCTTGGAATCTCAGAAGTGTCTGGTAAAGATATGATTCCCACCTCTCACTAATATGTAGGCCTTCCCATGTTCAGTAGTCACATAGTAGCTCACCACCTATTTGTAGGCTTTTCAGGGAAGTTTGTCTGCTGAAAGCCATCACTTGTACCCACTGTGTGTCAGACATTGTAGATGCTTTGCATACATTATACTTAGTATTCACAATCACCCTGCAAAGTAGGTGGTGGTACCCCTATTTTACCAATGAGGAAATTGAAGCTCAGAGAGATGAAGTGACTCGCTCAAGGTTACCTCACTAATAAAGGCACAGCTAGGATGCAGACCCAGGATTGTGTAGCTCCAAAGCCTCCATGTTGCCTCTTCACTGATTACTCAGAGTGAATATGTGAGCCTGATCTCAAGCTATGGTATCTCAAGCCATGGCCTGGAGAGCAGCACCTTCTCTCTGAGACCTCTGCACCGTTTCCTCTGACAGTGCTGAAGGGACTCCATCTCCTTATCTGTGAAGACTATGAAGCCCCTGGCTAGTGCTCCCCCAGGGCTACCACTGCCCTGTGAGCTGCCTCCATCATTGCCTATCTCCCCAGCTGCCTTGGAGACACATTCAACTTCCCTGTTGGGAGAAAGAAAGGGATCTTGCAGAACTTCACCCCTGAAGACTAGTCCCACTAGTCACTACAGGGTCATTCCCTTGCTGGGCCCTGGCACTGATCTGTCCTTTTTTGAAAGTCTAAAAAAGTCTATGAAAAGTATGGACAACAGACTGGTAGCTTCCACATTCCTGGAATCTTTTAGAAATGCAGATTCTTAGATTCTAGACCTCTGCACTCTCACCCAATCCCTGGGGAGTTGTATACATATTAAAGTTTAAGAAGCAGCTCCAGGCCCTGGAGTCTAAGAGATCGTGCTCCCATCCCTGGCTTTCCTGTCCCCATTGAAACTACTCTTTACTCATCTCCCATCCTCTCACTGTTCCATACAAGTAACACACCAATCCTTGCAGCTGAGTATCATCTCCTCCTCCTTCAACTTTAAGGAATTCCTTAAGGAATTAGGAATCCTAGGCTTCGAGAAAGATGGATAGGTGAGATGTTTAAAAACAGGGTCATTTTCTTAGACTGCCCCAGGTTAGGAGCACCCACATTTTTAAACATGATCAAGGTGGGGTACCCTTCTGGCCCAACTTCCCCAGTGTCTCATAGTATCTTCTATCACCTTGGCACACCTGCTCAGAACAAATGGAGGTGGGAGCAGTCAGAGGAACAGCTCGGCTGGGCAGTGAATCCAGCACTATCCCAAGGAAGCTCAATGGTCTAACTCATCCCTATCCATGGGACTGAATCTGAGGTTCTGGGCTCATGGAACCTCTCACAGAGTTTTCCACTACTGGCTTAGAGAGCCTCTGAACCTGTTTACAGCCTTCTCAGCCATGTGTAGGTTCCACGTATTGGTAGGTGGAGAATGTCCACCATGCCCCTGTACAAACTCCAGGCTGGCTGGGGAAAGAGAACCAAGCACATTGGGACCCAGGACCTTGAAGGGGAGGTCTCCCAGGAGAGCTCTGGGGGTCCCTGAAGGAGGACTTTCTGGAATGGAAGGGGCTGGAGCAGAGCCATCTGAGAGCTGGGGTGATTAGATGGAGAGAAGGATCTCTAGATGGGCAGGGCTGGCACCTATTTGGTGCCCAAATAGGTCATAACTCTCTAGGTGCCCAATTACTTGCCTTCGGTGAGCTCGGCCATTGGTGGGGAAGTGCCCCAGCGCTACGTGTGGCGTTTCTGCATCGGCCTGCACTCAGCACCACGTTTCTTGGTGGCCTTCGCCTACTGGAACCACTACCTCAGCTGTACCTCCCCGTGTCCAAGCTACCAACTGCTTTGCCGCCTCAACTTCAGCCTCAACGTCATCGAGAACCTCGCGTTGCTAGTGCTCACCTACGTCTCTTCTTCTGAAGACTTCAGTGGGTGCCCGGATGAGGGAAGGAGAATGGGAAAGGGTTTGGGGAGGGGACACCCCTACCCGTCCCTTACTCGGAGCATCAGACATAGGGTTTGGGTGCTCCCTGCAATATGTACTCCCAACCTTTCTCTTTCACTCCAGCCATCCATGAAAATGCTTTCATTGTGTTCATCGCTGCATCCCTCAGTTACATGCTTCTCACCTGCATTATCTGGCGGCTGAACAAGAAGCACACAGTAAGTCAGGAGGTACGGTTTACCCCTAGTGGGGCTCCACGCAGCCCAGAACTGTCCTCTGGATGTGGGTAATGGTGAAGTGGGAACTGGAATTCTAATTAGAACCCCAGCCGGGGCTTGGGGAGAAGTGGAGGATGGCTAGTCAGAATCTAGGACTGAGTTTGGGTAGTATGGGAGAATAGAGAACAGAGGAGATGGAGGCTCCAAATGGGAGTGGAATGAGGGGCAGCATCCTGGCTGCAGTGTTAGGAAAACACGTCAGGGTCTGTGGTCTCTAATAAGTCCAGTTGCCCCCCGACATACACACACACACACCTTCTCCCTGTAGCATCTGGAGGTGTTGGGTTGGTTGGTTGACTCCAAGTTAACTTTCATATTCCATCTCCCTGAAGTGGGAGGGGAAGAGATACTACTACTTCTTGGCCCCATTATATCCCAAATGCAGGGATGTGAACA